AATGTCTGAATTTGAACACTGCCTTTAAGCACCCCTTAAAAGGAGCCTGCACTAGAAATGAGGAAATTTTGAAGGGGGGGAAGTTTGAGCTGCCTGCTTTTCAGGCACAGAGCTCTGGGTGAAACCTAGATGTAAGGGCCAAAAAAAAAGTGAGATTCTCAATATGCCTTGTAACCCGTTCAACCTCCAAAGCCAAACCAAGCGGAGTACATGCTTCAGTTGCCCCCTGACATTGCTATACCCAGCAGGGCTCAACAGAGGAAGGAGGGAAAGGCAGCGCCTTCTTGTCACAAACTGAATGCAGGCAATGAGTTAAAGGGACTGACTGCTTCCTCTTCCAGTCAAGTCAGGCTGGATGACAGCTGCAAAGGTGGGACATGATCATCCCATTACGCAGATGAAGCTTGGACCTGGACTCTTCCTATAGTCCTCTTCGTACTGCTTAAAGCATCACTTTGGCCTCCCTGTCCTCAGAGTTGTACTCTTTCTTCCCAGGCAGGCAAAGATGTGGGATGAGGTGAATCTATCCAATTTTGTTCAGGGAGACAAAGGGAGACATAATCCAGCAGGTCTGGGAGTTCACAGTTCTTTTTCCAGCGGAGCCATCTACAGAGCAGGGGAACCTTTGCCAGGTCTCTTCAGACTGGCTTGGGCATAGGCAGCGCAGCCAGAAGTTACAGAAGGTGCTCCAGTTTGAAACGTCTTCATCTGATCCCTCCTGCAATCAGGGTTCAGATTTTCTCCTGATTGGCCATTTTTTAAGTGGCCTGCTGACATGCATTTGTGTTTGGTCATAGCTATAACTCACTTTCTGTGACCAGACTAGGCAAAAATTGTGATTTCTGCCTGCACCCCTTATGCAATGAGGGCTCAGATTTTTGCCCGGGGGGTTCAGATTTTGCCCAATTGGCCATTTTTAAGAGGTCTGCAACCATGCACTTGCATTCGATCATGGCTATAAGTCACTTTCTGTGGTCAGATGGGGCAAAAATTGTTATTTCTGCCTGCACCCCTCATGCAACGAGGGTTCAGATTTTCACTTGATGGGCCATTTCTTAAGCGAGCTGCAGCCATGCACTTGTGTATGATCATGGCTATAGACTGCTTTCTGTGGCCAGACGGGGCAAAAATTGTCACTTCTGTCTGCACAAAGGATCACTGAAGTTCCCCATTGTGGAAGCCCAGGAGAGGTGGTTTTATCTCTCTTGTTGTTCAGGATTGGCTTTTCCTTAGTTAAAAAAAAAAATACATTGTAGTGCAAAGAAAAGGAAAAAGAGGGAATAAACTTTTGGGCACAGGAGAACAGACGCCGTGGCAGCGCAGACATACAGGGCCGAGGTAGACTGTTTATGTATACTGTAATCAGGTAGGAATATGAACATGCTGAGCCATCCAAGCTATTAACACTTTGAGGAGTCAGCAGATCAACTGCTGTGGTTAAACTCATTAACAGTAGGTTAACTCCCCATTGTGCAGCTTCTGGCTCCACATCAGAGGGCCATAAAACACTGAGTGCACCATAATGACTGTTATGATCAGGAAATTTGGGGACATGTGTCATTACAGGGAACAAACAGGGCCAGCAGAAGTGTCTGGCAACATGGTTGCAGAGTTTTCAGTGCCATTCCCCCCCCCCCCC